AAAAAAAAAAAAAGAAGGATTGAGGGAAAAAATAACACATCAAACACTTGTTTTCACCGCTGTTGCTGTTTAAGATGAAGCTGGGGTTTGAAAGAGAATGTAAAAGACGATACATTATAAAGGAAATACTAGTACAGGCAGCGCAAGGATGGAGCAGAAGTCATCGGGGTAGAGGATGAAGTCAGGGAAACCGCAGCGTCTCGTGGGGGTGGTGAAGGGAGGGCCCGGGTGTCGTAGGGAACACGGGGAGGGCAGGAGAGGGCAGGGGTGCGAGAAGGAGAGGGAGTCGGGAAGAGAGTGAAGCAGGCAGGGGGCGACAGAAAAAGAACAGGGCAATGGAAGGAGGGAAAAAGCCCATTGCCACAGCTCTGAGACCCCGACCGCACCGGCCCTGCAACCAGAGTGCGCACAGCGGGCGAGCGGAGGAAGCGGAGCGCCGGCCTAGGGGAGGCATCTGCGCGCTGCAGTCCCCCGGGCGGAGGGGACGGCCTCTCTGCTGGCCGCGCCCGTGTTCACTTACCCGTTCCGCTGTTCTTCAGTGGGCACCAGGCCCCGCGACCACAAAGACGGGTGGGACGCGTTTCTGGGCTCAAGAAGTTCGTATCCCAGAGGGAGGAGCTACCACAGTGAAGGACCCGTTTGGTGTTTTGCCCCCCAATATGTTGCAGGCTGATACTTCTGTAGAATACAATAGAAATGAGTGGCTAGAAAAGCAATCACAGGCCCGGTTGTCCCGGAAATGTCAAAGCACTGTGACAGTTTCCAGATGCTACTCTCTGTTTCTGTACTTCTCTCCCCCGGGCCAGTAGGCAGCTCAGGGAGCAGCGTGGATTTGCCCAGCACACCGGGGCGGCGGCCTTAAGACAGGGCACCACGCAGGCCGAGACCCAGGCCTGGGAGGATGGGAGGGAAGGGGCGTGGAGGGAGATCCCCCACCTGTTTCCCTTTCCCTCTCTCTGGGGTGGGGGGTTCCAGGGTGGGGCCCTGGGTGTTGACCACAGGATACAGGCGGGAGGAGGGCCTCCGTGGCAGGCCTGGGGTAGACCCAGGAGGCAGGGACAGAGAAGGGCCCCTCTCTTCCACTCCTCTGGGATTCACTTTGCTCGCACCAGATGGCCCCTTGCCCGCCTCCGGCCCCGCACGGTCCTCTGCGTGAGGAAGTTCAGGACGGGACGTGGAGGCTCTGGTGAGACATGCTTCCACCGGGGGACACCCCCATCTGGAGGGACCCTGGCATTTCCTGGGAAGTCAGTTTCTAGGGGCCTCCGGGCACGTTCCTGGGTTTCCCGGGCTGGAAGACACGGAGGAAGGAAGTCGTGGCGGCCCTGGCTCACTCTGGCGCTTCTCCCCCCGCTCAGGAACCCGGACAAGGGCATCCAGTTCCTGATCTCGCGAGGCTTCATCCCGGACACCCCCATCGGCGTGGCCCATTTCCTCCTGCAGCGGAAGGGCCTCAGCCGCCAGATGATTGGAGAGTTCCTCGGCAACAGCAAGAAGCAGTTCAACCGCGACGTGCTGGAGTGAGTGCCCCGCCCCGGCCCCACCCCGCCCCGCGATCCCAGCGGGACCCCTGAAATCTTGGCGACTGCCTTAGCGACATGCCCCCTCCATTCCTCACGGCTTCCCGATCGGCCACGGGGCCAGAATCCCCGTCTCTGGCCCATCACCCCAGTGGGACCGCGCCGCTGTCTGTCCTGGACACTCGCTGGTGGCGTGTGCTCAGGGCCAGGCTCTGTCCCGGGGTCCAGGGACACAGCAATGCTCAAAGGAGACAAAAGCCCTCTCCCTGCCCCTCTCGGGGCACCTCCAGGGAAAGATGAGGGCTACGTCATCTCCGCCTCTCCCGCAAGGCTCCTTCTCATGACCTTGGAGCCCAGACTGAGGGCTTCAGAGCAGGAAAATGCTGTGATCCGTAAAGACAGATTAACCACAAAATCCCAACCACCAAAGAAAAGAGTCTGAAGTGTGGTAGCGGGTGGGGGCTGAGGCTGCTCTTGCCATCACTCAGCCCTGAGCGTGTGGGGGGCGGAGTCTCTCCAGAGGGGCGGGGCAGAGGGGGCGTCCCCTGGGGCTGGGGAGCAGGGCTTTGGGGCCCTTCTCCCTGGGAAGGGGCTGCGGCCCCAGGAGGTCCCCTCTGGCCCCTGCCACTCCCCCGTGCTCCTTCTGGCTTCCGCTAGGCCCCCCAAGCTCACTTCCTTCTCGAAGGCCACCATTCTGTAGAGACCCTGCCCCATTTCTCTGGGGGACAGTCAGCGGAAGTGGTTCCCCAGGGGCCCTTGGAGAACCTTTGCCTTTTGTACTTGCCCCTGGAGCAGCCGGGGTCTGTGAGAGGGTTTGGGAGCTCGGAAGTCACCCGGCGGCCTACCGTGGCCAGCGTCCCTGGTGTGGGGCGCGGAGATTTGGCTTCTGCCTCTGGAGCAGCCTTGGTGCTGGGTCGCGATGTGGAGAAGTCCCTGCCCTCCGGGCCTGCGTTTCCAGGCCTGCGAGTGGTGTGGATTGCGCACGGTGGGCCAGTCGCCCTCTGAAATCCCTGTCGCACCCCTAAATCCGCTGACGCGGTGGCTGTCTGGGTGCAGGTGGACGAGCGAGGGCTTGGACCCGCCTCAGGGACTTCGAAGTCCCTGGATGGCCCTGAGCTGGGCAGAGGCCGGTTCCTGCGGCTCTGACTCTCGGTGGCTTCGACCGCCTGTCGTCCCTCCCGGAGCTGGTCCGTCGAGGGCTGTGAGGCGGAAAGAGAACTGAGCAGTGGGCAGCGTCTCCCCCTCACCCCTTCCTTTCCCCCTCCGTGGGCGCCTCTCCCCTTTCCCAACAGCCCTGCTGTGCGGGGACCCTGTGGGGCTGCCCCAGGAGCTGAGTCCAGGACACAGAAAGACAGACACCGCATGTCCCTCCTTTCCTTCCTTCTCCCGCCTTGCCCCTCGCTATGCCTCCGCCCTGCCTCTGTCCCCTTTCTGCTCCTTCCAGGGAGAGGGGGGGTGCTGGGCCCTGTGGCCTCTTCCTCTCCCGCTGCCCACCCTGAGCCCTGCTGTGTGTGGGGCAGGAGTGACTCTGCCTCCCAGCCCCTGACTGCTGTCCCTTTCTTTTCACTCCCCAGTCCCGGTGTGGCCGGCCCTGGGGCAACCTGCCAGGCCCCTGCTGGCCCGCAGTGCCGGGAACACAGGTTTTCCCAGCCCGGTCGTGCTGAGCGGCACAATGAAAACTAACTGCCGTCCTCCCTGGGAGACTGAGCCTGTGGCCCAGCCCTGCAGGGGAGGGGAGCTGGGCCGGACGGGTCTGCCGGGGTTGGCCGCTGCCATGGTGAGCTCCTCCGGCCAGGGGAGGCCGTGTGGTGGGCAGGAGAAACGCCGGCCCCGGGATGGAGGGCTCGGATCGCAGCCCTGGCTCCGCTCCTGCGTGCGTGTAGCGTTGGCAACTGTCCCTTCTCTCTTGGCAACTGTCCCTTCTCTCTAAGCCCCGGCGTCCCTGTCTGTCAAATGAGAGGGTTGGGCAGTGGGATCTCAGAGGCCCCTCCAAGTTCTGGGAATCTCTCAGCATTGCCATCTCTAGGGCGTTCATAGCACAGTGGCGTCGGCGGGGAGCACCCGCCCTAGCACTGGGGCCTTGCTTTGTCATCCTGCCAGGGCAGTGCTGGGTGCCAGGGTTCATGGGGGAACGGGGTGGTGGTTCATTATTCATTCGACAAACGTCGAGTGCCTACTGTGTGTTGAGATTGGGGCTGTGCCAGGCCTCCCGTGTGTGTATGCGCGAGGCCCCGGCTCAGGGTCTCGGGAGCTTAGACCGGTGTCAGCAGGGAGCGGGAGGAGGAGGAGTCTGGGGGGAGTGCCGAAGGCCCTGGCACGTGGGCGAGGGCAGGGCTGCGTGCAGAGCTGAGCCTCAGTCCCTCGGTCCCTCGTGCTTCGCTCCGCAGCCACGCAGGCCCTGGGCTCGGAGGCAGGCTGATGGTGCGGCGCCACAGAGAGGACCCCGCCCCGCCCAAGTCTGTGGGTTGCCTCTCTCCAGGCTGGAGAGGGCCTCCCCCTGCAGAGAGCCAGGGGCAGTGAGAGGCAGGAAGAGGCAGGCTCTGGCGGGGGAGCCGGGACACTCCCGCCAGCCCGGAGCCTTCCAGAATTGCCGCCTCTTCCTTACTCCCACTGGGGAAGACACACACACTAACCGCGTGGCCCTCTCCCACTTTGCCCAGGCCCAGAAGGCTTCGCGGGGATTCCTCACGGCTCCCCCGCCCTGCCTGGCGACATTCAGAGAGTGGCATCGTTCTGTACAAAGCTGTTTGCGGAAGAAAAGGACGTAAACCAGCCATCCCCTGGGAGACCGAGGCAGGCGAGGGGGCAGGGCGAGGCGGAAAGCCCCTCTGGGGGCTGCAAGAGGCGGGACAGGAGCAGCATCCAGGCGGTGACGTTTGCTGCCACGGTCGGGCCCTCGGAGCCCCTGGAAGCTGACGTCTCCATCCTCGCGTGTCTTAATGTCCGCAGACCACGCGCGCCACGCGGGAGCGCGTTCTGCCAGGGCTTGTCACACGCGCCAGAAGGCATCCGAGCTCACGGGGCCACGCCCAGCCCAGTGTCCGCCTGCAAAGGTTGGCCCGTTGGTCCGTTTCGTGAGGGAGAACTCAGCCTGGTTCCCGATCGGTAAGATGGTGATGACAGCACTGCCTCCTGCGCATTAGATGTCTAGAATGTGCTTGAAGTGCTTAACTCGGGGCTGGTGCAGGACGCGCTGTGCAGACTTCAGCTGTTTCTGTTACTGTCCCTCCCCCTTGAGAGCACAGACATTAGAGCCCCCGCCCCCTGCCCCAACACTGGGACACCTGGAGCATCTCAGGTCTGGTTTGAAACCGGGGCTCCTCGGCAAACAGCAAGAACTTACTTGCCGGGCCTTGCCGGGCCTTGCTGGGCTTTGCGGGGAAGGGGCCAGCTCCGGGCCCCTCCTGTGGTCTCAGGAGGCCTCTCCCCACGCTGAGGAGGGTCGGGCGGTGGCAGGCCCGGCTGTGGGAGCCAGGCACGGCCACTCCTGGCATCCTCGGGGCTGGAGGCTTCTCCCTCTCGGCTTGGCTCTGCCCTCCTCCCTTCCTGAAACACTCCCTGCAGCGGGTTTGAAGGCCAGCGCGTGGGGGGACGCTCCTTCTGGCTGTGGGCAGTCTCTTTTCTGGCCTGGGTGACTCTTTCCGACGTGACTCACAGGCACACGGAGGGCGTCGGCGCCTGCCATTGCCGTGCGCATGCGTGGAGGGCAGCTTGGGGCCGGCCGCCAGAAGAAAGTTTCCTGGGTGTCCCTTCCCTCCACTGCGTCTGCTCCGTCCTTTGTTCATTTCTCGGGCATGTCAGAGTTTGGCGTTCGGGTCAGATTTCTTTATTTCATTGCCATGGAGATGTGCTGGCCAGAGTAACAGATTTGTTCTTCTTAGGTGACATTTAGAGATGAAGACAGATTGTCGAACTCAGCAGCCTGGGAGGCTCTGGCCTTTCATCGCTAGGAAGAAATTATTTGGGGACATCCCGCCCGTGGTGCCGTGCGTCGTCTCAGAACAGGTTCCCTTCCCCGGAGGAAGTGCAGGAGGAGGGGCGGGCTGGGCCCAGGTGGCCCGGACAGGCCTGGCAGGCAGGGAGACAAGACCAGGGTCCCTGCCACTGCTTTGAGCGCTGCCAAAGCCTGGAAGAGGGTGCCTTCGGGGGCGCTGGACCCTTCACCTCTCTGGTGCCCCCAACACACACACCGATAGACAAGGGACTCCCCGGAGCAGTGAAGTCATGAGAGTGGGACCCGTTTACTCCTGTGTGTGGAGACCTTGAGACCCAGGCGTGGTGGTGCCGTCCGGGGCTGAGCTTCCCAGTGGCTGCGCCACTGTAGCACAGACGCTGGGCTTTGACGCACCCGAACATACCCACGCCCAACCCCGCCCGGTCACCCAGCCCCAGCTCCAGACGGGTCCCTCTCCAACCCTGGGAGATACACAGTTGTGCCCGCAACCAGCCTCTCTTAGAAGGGGGGCTTCTCGCTCGGAAGGGCTCCCGGGGAGGCGTCGTCTCCTGGCGCTTTGAGGAGGGCCTTAGTGACCGAGCGGGCCCTGGGACATAGCGATGGCAGCTCACATGCGTCCAGCGTCGGCCGTGCGCCAGCAGGCACTGTCCCGAGAACCTCGCGTGCAAAACCTCGTTGCATCTGTGCAGCAACTCTGTCGGGGAGGGCTACTAATCAGCCAGCAAAGGCACCGAGGAGCACAGAGGTCGGGCCGCTTGCCCACGGCCACAGCGCTAATCCGTGGCGGAGGTCTGGAGCCCGGCAGAACGGCTCCGCCCCCTGTATGCTCAATCCTGCACGGTCTGCCCTCTGCACCGTGTCCCAAGGCGGGCGTGGTCTGGATGCGTTTATGCTGCTTGTCGGTGCCCAATCTGAGTCACGCGCTGGAGGACCCCGTGGTCGGGCAGCCAGTCCACCCTCTCCTGTGGCCCGGGCAGAAACGGAGGCCCAGAGGGAAGAAGTGACTCGTCTCTTGGCCACTGGCCGAGGACTTGAACGGAGTCGG